GGGGGCCCCCCCTGCCGCTCCGCGGGCCCGCCCTGCCGGAGGAAGGGGAGCATCACCATCACCCCAGGGCTGCGTCCCCCCATCCCCAGCCCCACACTTGCAGGGGCATCCCACCCTGGAGTGCCAACCCGCCACCCCGTCCCCATCACAGCCTCCCGGCCACACCGGAGCCACTCACCCGTCACGGAGCCCCGAGGAGTAGTAGGAGAGGCTGGGGCTGGGCGAGGGAACGGGTGCCAGCTTCGGGCAGCGTAGGGGTGCCGGGGGGCTGCAGGGTGCTGGGGGGCGGCTGCCCCGGGGCGGCACAGGGGGTGCGTTCAGCAGCCGGCACTCCTCCTTCACCTGGAAGGGGGGCGAGCGCCGTCAGGGCCCCCAGTTGCGGCAGGGATCTGCCCCCGGGACCCCACAGCTGGAGGGGGGCTATGGTGGGTTTGGGAGCAGCCAGCCCCTATGAAGCCACGGGGCTCTAGGTACCAACGGGGTGGGGGAGCCACGGTGCGGGGAGCTCCAAAAATTTGGGTACCCCATGGTGAAGGGGAGCCTGAGAGATTTGAGCACGCCATGGTGCAAGGGAGCCCAAAGGACTCCGCAAGCCACAGTGCAGGGGAGCCCGGAGGGTTTGGGTACCCCATGGCGCTGGGAAGCCCAAGAGCTTCGGGTACCCCGTGATGCAGAGAGGCCTGGGGAACTGGGTACCCCGTGGTGCCGAGGAGCCCAGAGGATTTGGGTGACCGAACATCACTGGGGAGGGACCCCAGAGCCAGGGGCTCCCAGCCCAGAGCCCCTGCCCACGGCGCAGGGCTGCTGGCAGGGCCACGCCGGGGCTCGCCGCCCGGCTATCCCGGTGCATTGCCCCCGGCCAGGGCGGTTGGTGGCAGGCGGGACCCCAGGGTGTTGTTCCCCATCCCCGGGGACAGGACCGCGGCTCTTACCGCCTCTGACTTGGGTGGCACAGGGGGTGGGGTGTCCCCCCGGGGCTCGTCCCCGGGCACGCCGGGGCGGTGCGGGGAGCCCAGTGGGGTGACGGCCCTGAAGGAGACGAGGTCCTGCCGGCCGGCGCCGCTGCCGGGCTCGCAGCAGCCCTCGGGGCTGGGGTTGCTCCAGAGCTCCTCGTAGGGGATCTCCAGCGGCTCCTGAGTCCTGAACTCGGGCTCGGCCCAGTCGGGTGTCATGTACTCCCGGTCGGGGTCGGGGAAGTCGGGCAGCGGCGGGCGCGGGGTGCCCCCCCCGACGCCCCGCTGTCCCTGGCAGTGGGCGGTGGGCTCCCGGGGGACCCCTGTGCTGCAGGCGCAGAGGGAGAGGCGTTGGAGGGGCTGGCTGAGCTCCTCGCGGGTGCAGGCAGGCAGGCAGAGCCGCAGGCGCCGGGGGCTGGCGCATTCCTCCGAAAAGTCAGGTTTGGCCTCCCGCACGGCCCGCGAGTACTCGTCGGGGTTGAAGCGGTCGTGGCAGTACGCAGCGCTGTCCCGCAGCAGCTTCTCCAGCTGGGGGTCCCCGGCGAGCAGCCCCTCGGGCAGCTGGAAGCGGGGCATGTCGGTCAGCAGGAGGAAGTGGAAGGGGACCAGCTCGTCCCGGCGGAGGATGCAGCACAACACCACCGTCTTGGAGATGATGCTGACCAGTTTGTAGCAGTGGCCCTCGCGGATGGCGTGCAGGTCGTAGGGGTTGCGCGCGGGGCGGCTGGGCACGGCCACGTTGACGGGCAGCCGCACCTTCTCGATGATGCTGCGGATGGTGTGCTCGCCCTCCTGCAGCCGCAGCTCGAGGGGGCTGCGGGTGCTGAAGCGGCCCTTGCACTGGAAGGGCAGGCTGAGGCTCTCGTTGGTGCGGTGGTTCATGCAGATCAGGCAGGGCATCTTGCCCTTCACCTGCCTGGCCCCCGCCGCCGGCACCGCCTTGCCCAGCTTCCGCAGGATGGTGTTGAAGCGCGATTTCTCCTTCACCGTCTTGGCGCAGAGGATCTCCGCTTGCCCCATCAGCGTCAGCTCGTCCCCCGCGTGCAGCGTGAAGTTGTACACCTCGCTGTCCTCGCTGAACTCCCCCGACACCACCTGCCCCGGGACAGCCCCACCATGGGACCCGCTGCCCTGGCACTGTCCCCTGACGTCCCACCACCATTCTGTAATGTGCCACCACCAACCCCTGATGCCCCACCGCCACCCCCCGACGTCCCACTCTTCTCTCCTGATGTCCCACCACTGACCTCAGTGTCCCACCACCCCCCCCGATTCCTATCAATCATCATACCCTGATGTCCCACCACCATCCCCTGATGTCCCACCACCATCCCCTGATGTCCCACTGTCCTCTCCTGTTGTCCCACCACCATCCCCTGATTCCCACCACCACACCCCAATTCCCACCACCATCCCCTGATGTCCAACCACTACCTCCAGTGTCCCACCACCTGCCCCTGATGTCCCACCAGCCACCCTTGCTGGCTCACTGTCCTCTCCTGATGTCCCACCACTGACCCCAACATCCTACCACCACCCCTTGGTTCCTACCACCATACCCAGATGGCCCATCACCATCCCCTGATGTCCCACCGCCAACTCTTGATGTCCCACCACCATCTCCTGACATCCTGTCACCATCCCTGCTGTCCCACTGTCCTCTTCTGATGTCCCACCACCATCCCCCAATTCCCACCACCATCCCCTGATGTCCCACCATCTACCCCCAATGTCCCACCATCTACCCCTGATGTCTCACCACCATCTTCTGATGTCCCACCACCATCCCCTGCTGCCTCACCACCGCTCCCTAACAGTCACCTGCTGTCCCACCACCATCCCCATACCAACCTTCACGCTGAAGGTGATGGCCTCCATGACGAAGACACGGTCCGGGAAGATGCTGGCCACCTCCTCCACGCTGTTGAAGTACTGCACGGGCTCGCGGATGTCCCGGTCCTGGTCCAGCAGCTTGAACTTCCCTGCATGGGACAGCCAGACCCGCAGCGGTGAGAGGAGCCCCTCTCCAGGGCCCGGACCCGCTGTGACCCACCTCGGGGCCAGCACGGCCCTTTGTGGGCGGCAGCCACCCTCAAGGTCCTGGGGTCCCCATCACGTTTCTCGAGGGGTCACCTCTGTGGGCAGAGGGCGTCACCAAGCGTGAAGGGGACACCAGCGCATCCCCATGCCTGTACCCCACACACGCAGCATCAAGGGGGGCTTTCGAGAGGGACACAGTGCAAAGCCGCGAGCAGAGCGGGTGTCTCGGCTGTGGGAACACCCCAAAGCGGCCACAGAAACACCCCGTGGCTGGAGGAGCCCGCCTGGAGCAGGGCCAGCGGAGCAGCCAAAATCGCAGGCAGCAGCATTGTCCCCCGAAACCCGGCCCCAGCCCCGCCGGGGCCCCGCGACCCCCCTCGGCCCCACGCCTCCGGCAGCAGAGCCGCCGGCGGGGACGGACCTGAGGGGAATATTAATCTGTGCCGAGCGGTGCTGAGGCCATGGCTGCCCCTTGCCGGGCAGGGACCCGGCCGCAGCCATGGCACTGGGGACACAGGAGTCGGTCAGGGCGGGAGCCGCGGTGCCTGAGCCAGGGGCAGCCCCATGCACCGGGGCAGCCGGCTCGGGCATGGCCAAGCCCCCAAAGCTGGTTAACGCACTGGCCGGCCTCCCTGCCTCGGCTCCCCCCTTGGGACGGGCGATTAACCCCTCCCCCGCTCCATTTCCCATTATTTATTTATTAGCAGGACTCATTACCGACATGGCGAGCACTCAGAGTGGTCATTAAGGCTCTTGCTACGGCAGGCGGCCGCCAATTAGGACCCTCCTCTGCATCGCCTGGCCCCGGCCCCGTCCCCCCCTGTCCCCATCCCTATCCCCATCCCATTCCACTCCTGTCCCCATCCCGCTCCCAGTCCTGTCCTCATCCCATCCCCACCCCCTCAACCCATCCTATCCCTTCCCCATCCCCATCCCATCCTCACCCCATCCCCATCCCTCTCCCAGCCCCATCCTCTTCCCCATCACCATCCCATCCCTGTCCCTGTCCCCAGCCTCATCCCATCCTCACCCTCCCATCCCATCCTGCCCCATCCCCATCCCTGTCCGCATCCCATCCCATCCCCACCCCACCCCTGCCAGCCCCCCCACAGCCCCTGGCTTTGGGCAGGGCAGGAGAGGCAGAGAGCAGCCCCCAAACCAGAGCATCTCCTCCCCCAGACTGGGCCATACTGGAGCACCCCCAGTTCAGCCACCGGCAGTGTGGGGGGGGTCCCAGCCCTGATCCCCCAGGGGACACCGACACCCTCGTCCCTCGCACCCCGGCCGCCCCCACCTGGGTACTGGAGCGGGATGTCGATTTTGGGGCCGATGACGTAGTGTCCCTCCTCCAGGCTGTGCGCCGTCACCGTCGTCCACTGCCGGCAGGAGTGGACCAGCAGCACGTCCTGGGCGCTCACCCCCTCCACGCGCTCGCCTGCCGGGGGACGGGGCTGTCACCATCCCCACGACACCCCCCACCCTCCCCGGGGCACCCAGGGGTGGCCAGCCGGGGGACGGACGGACGGACGGACGGACAGCCAGCCGGAGGGATGAGCAGGT